CCCCCTCGAAACTGCCCAATTTGTTGTCCTTTATAGGTCACGGGGGCAAGCTCCCCTGAAACCCCCCTTGCCTTGTTTAAAACAAGTGAAATTTTACAGCTCATTTTGTAGGCTAGATCTACTGATAAAACATAAAACATAGATGCCGACTATTTAAATCAGTATCGGTGTCCAGTACTCTGTGCTAGGCCTAGTGTGATTTAGTGCAGACGGGACCGCAATTGTACAGGAGTGCCGGATGGTGCTGGGGGAGGGGGTGGGGAGAGAAAAGGGGGGGCGTGAAGAGAGAGGTCAAAGATTGGGAGGGGGGATCAGCAGGGAGCGAAGGAGATTAGGAAGGAATTGGAGGGTGGATTGGAGGGGGGAGAGGGAGAAGAGGAAGGAATTGAAAGAGAGGAAACAAGTTTGGAAGGAGGGTGAGGCAAAGAGGCATTTGAGAAGGTTGTTGAGCTAGAGAGGAGGAATGGAGTTATAGTACGGTGGTGTAGAGTGTAAGAGAGGAATTATAGGAGAATGATGATGATGATGATGATGATGATGATGATGATGATGATGATGATGGTCTAGTAATGAGTTACTTACCAACACAACTCCTCTGCCCAATGCTGAAAAGGATCCAACATTTTTGCTTTAGGGAGAATTTTCCACCCTCCTTGTCCAGATATCTCTCCGGCACGAAGCTGTCAGGTTGATCCCAATGATTTGGATCTCGAAGTATGGCATAATGGTTTACCATTATCCCGGTTTTTGCAGGAATGTCATAGCCCATGAGCTGAAGAAGACGTTTGATAGGTGGAAGGGATGAGAAGACAAAACGTTTGTCTGAAACGTATTATGTTTTGTTTTTTGTTTGTTTGTTTTGTTAGTTGGTTTGTTGTTTATTTTGGGGGTTTTGGTAAGTGTTTTACGGCGTTCGCAATGCAATTGATTAAAGGCACACAAAAATGTATATTTTCAGATTCCATGGACTCTCAGGCTATTGAAGTTACCAAACTTTGACCTCCATTTCCTCACTAATTTTACCTCTGAAACCAGGCGACCCTGACCTCCTTCAATCACTAATATTATTTCGAATTCTATTCAACATAGATGGA